GCTTGGAGATGGGCCAATTTCGGCCAAATACCACAGTTAAATTTTTACAGAAATATTACCCAGCTGAATCATGTGTCTGTAAGCTAAATATTTCACTAAAGATATATAAAATTTTCTACATTTTTTATGATAAAGTAGGGAAAATATACTGCGTCACACAAAACATATTAATCAAACAAAAAATTAACACAAGTCGTATTAAATAGGTGAAACATCACGGAATAGATATGAATTCCTCGCAAGTGAACTCGTGCTACAATTTTAAACAAAAAGCGATGAATTCTGATACCATATTTCACGAGAAATATAAAGAAAATATTCAAAATATACGAACAACGTAATGCATGAATTGAGGTTATATTACGTTGTTCCAGTGTTCCACACAATTTCATAATAATTTTCCTTGTCCAAAGAAAGTCTTTTCTCCTAAATACTTCGATAAAGTATTAGCGAAAAACTCTACTACAATACCTTACTCTTTCGTTGGATAAACTGCCGTTTAAGTCTCTTTCCCAATATTGAAACAGCGAACTATATCTTCTAAACAACAAAAGGATGCAAAGATATTAATTTTTTGGCTTCTAATAAGAATACAATTGGGTGCTCAGCCTCGTACGAAGGAAAGCTGGCTAGAAACACGAGTTTTGTCTTACCTGAGTAGCTTTTTCAGCGAGTGTTTTGCCAGCGAATACAAGAAGGTTGATGATGATGATAAAAGAGAGGCAACAAACCGACAAGACAAAGCTATCGCGTCTATTTAAGCCCAACAAAACAATTAATGCTTCCCTGGCTCGAGTACTGGCTGAGACTTTCTCACCTTTCAAATTGTTGTGTCACAGTGATTCTGGGGGTTTCATGGGATCACAATGGGAATTAATAATTACCAGGGAAGGCCGCTGGATAAACTGCGCGCGGACGTTAACACTGATCTCAGGCTATACTGAATGTATGTACAGTGAAAGATGCCTACCTGAAAAATACAATACTATGAGAAATTCAACGTTTCGAGCGATCGCGAAGGTCCTTGTATGGGAAAGTTAGTAGCGGGGTCGGAAAAATTACATGCACTTCAACTTACACTTTGAAACTCTGTTTGGACTAAATTAATCAGATTGGTTTATTTTTTATCACGTGATCACTTTTATATTTACTAGTATAAAAGCTCATGTAATTCTCCCGACCCCCACTACTATCTTCCTAATAACTTTTCAAAATTTTCTTTGGGGCATGTCCCAAGCAGGCCCCATAGGAAAGTTTGCGCTTGCAGGGAAATCACTCCATCTCAGCACCAGTCCCCCACCCCTCCCCTCCTCCCTCCCTGTTGTATTTTAGAATAATTTATGATAATTTATATCTAATTATTTACAATATTCCTAATATATTATATAAGTAGAAGTACTTCATGTAACATAATGTAAAAGCAATAATACCACATCTCCTTTCCTTTCATATATAAAGTTATCAAAAGTTAATATTGTTTCAATCAGTTAGATAACAGTAAGAACACAACGTCATCAATAAGTAATATCATAGTCCTTTCACGAGTTCAGTTTTTAGGACATCTCTTTCTTAAATCATATGGATCGCGTAGTCCCACATGCCTTCCTCCCAATGGATTAGTCGTTGGGGTTGGGTTCTGTTCGTCATTCTGTTGAAACGTATTGTTACTAGGAGGGGAAGGTGAAGGTCTTAGATATCTTCGATTACGGGTGAGTGTAGACCCTTGGTCGGTTAATACTATGTAGGTGCGATTCGGTTTAATTTCAGCAATTGTTCCAAGTAGTGACCAATCGGAATCGACGCGAGAACGAATACCTACACGGATACCAGTCTGGAGGGGAGGTAATGGGGTAGTATGTTGATCATAGGTATCTTTCTCTTTTTTATTGATATCAAGGATTTTCGCCTTCGTCTCATTATCTAACGTTGTTGGACCAGGATAACGAGGGAGGGAATCGTGGAGTGTTCTGCCAAGCAGCAATTCTGCAGGACTCTTACCACATAAGAGAGGAGTATTTCGAATTGCCAGCAGACCTTTCCAAAATTGGTCATTCATAGAGCCACACTTTTTGAGGAGCTTCTTGACATTCTTTACCGCGGTTCGGCTTTGCCATTTGACTGAGCGTGAGTAGGAGAAGATACAGTGAGTATAAAATTCCAACTTTCAACAAACGTTGCAAAGGCTTTGCAAGTAAACTGTGAACCACCGTCTGATACGACTTCAACAGGTTGACCAAATCGAGAGAACAATTGCGTGAGTTCTTTGATCAACGCTGGTGCTGTTGCGTCTTTACCAAGATCATAAACTTCAGTGAAGGAGGAGAAATAGTTCGTGACGATAAGGTATTCTCGGTCATTAATTAGACTATAAAGGTCAACGCCTAGTTTGTCCCAAGGTCGTGTGGGTAGAGGTGGTTGCTGCAGAGGTTCTTTGGGATTGACAGGAAGAAGAGTTCGACATTCAGAGCAGCGTTTTACCATTTCGTCGATGTCGTGGTTCATCCCAGGCTAATATACAGAATCACGAGCAAGGCGGCGAGTTTTTTCAGTCCCTTGGTGTCCTTCATGAAGGTTGTTTAATGTTTTCTTTTGTTATTGGGTGGGGATGACAGTTCTGCCATTCATAAGTAAGATAGAGTTCTCTCCAACAGACGCCATGTAGAGGTTATGACGAATGGACCAAAAGGGGCGCGCCTCTTCTTCGACTTCATTTCGCATTTTAATTAGGCCACCCAATTTGTACGTAATGGATGACTTTCAAGAGTGTATCATCGGCTTGTTGGTGGTGGAAAGGTTCCTGAAGCTGACTGGCAGTAGTTGACTTGTCAACAAAGTGAACATTCACAGCAGCTTCGGCATGCAACTCGCATAGTTCATCTTCAAGACAAGGTTCATCAACGGGAAAACGGGAGAGTGCGTCTGCAGCGAGGTGATCTTTGCCTCTAATCCATTCTGCAGTAAACGTATAAGGCAGCATTTTCATCATGAGGCGTTGCAGGCGAGGATTCTCGACATCAGCAATCCCTTTCGAATTCAGGATGGGAATAAGGGGTTGGTGATTGGTGACGAGTTTGAAGTGAGGTAGGCCCCGAAGGAACATATCACATTTCTTCATGGCCCAGCAAGCACCAAGAGCTTCCAGCTCTATCATAGCATAGTGGCTTTCGGTGGGGGTCAAGAATCTGGAACCCGCTTGAACAGACTTCCATACGCCGTCAACCATTTGTAGAAGGACAAAACCAAGACCGTGCAGACGAGATGCATCAGTGGCGAGCAAAGTTGGACGGTTGACAGCAAAGTAGGTTAGGACAGGTGGTGAGCTGAAGCGACGTTTAGCTGCGTTGAATGCTTGCTCATGTTCTGGCAACCAGAGGTAGCATGAGTTCTTCTGAAGCAGAGGGCGAAAAGGTTCCATGATTTGGGTTATCTCCTGGGAAAAATGGCCAAGTTGATTCACCAGACCAAACCAGGAGCGTAGATCAGTAAGATTCTTCGGTAGTGGAAAATCGCTGATGGACTTGAGGAGATCTGAACTGCACTGGATGCCCAATTCTGACAGGTGAAATCAGCCAAAATCAGCTTCAGTGACAGCTATCTGGGACTTTGAACGCTTCAGTGTGACCCCATGCGTGGAGCATCGGTCTAGGAAGGCGTGAACGCGTTTCTTCAAAGCAGAGATGGTTGGTGAGTAGTAAAGCCCCCCCCCCTCTGGAGACCAAAGGGATGCCGCCAATGACGTCACTTTGGCGTCGGAAGTAATTAGTATGCAAACCTAGGTGTCGGAAGTAATTAGTATGCAAAATATGGCGGCGGAAGTAATTATCTATGACGTCACTTTGCTGGCCCTAACCCTAACCTTGGGCAAAATGTGACAGGTAGCGCGACCAATTAACGCGAGCAAGCCTGGGCCAAACGTGACAGGCGATCAATTAGCATCACAATACAGTAACGAGACCAATTAGCGGCACAACACAGTAACGCGACCAAACAAATTATCAGAGATTATAAATATCGTGTTTCAAACACACATTTCATTTCTCACTGTTGCATTTTGGCAAAGTGTTCTCTGGTTCTCAAGTGCTGTCTGGTGGATTGCGTTAGATTGTTTTTTTTTTAAAATGGCTCAAACGGTAAGGAAACGTAGCGTTTTGAATATATGTTAACGATATTTTCAGAGTCATAGGCTGGATTGAGTTGTTTTAGAATATATGTTTACGATAGTTTTAGATTAATATGTTTATGATATTTCTAGATTAATATGTTGGTTCTGATCAAAGCTTGTGAGGCTGAAAGTGAGCTCGACTTTCTTCAGGAGTTATTTATGCTCACTGATGAGCAGAAGGAAGCTGTCCTTCAACAACGCATTATTTTCTGGACGAACGCGATGGCCGAAGATATTGAACGGGAGAATCCAGTTGGAGTTGTTGATGGCTTCATGGATAATTGGACCGAGGATCAACGTCGCCTGTTTAACGAAGACTGGGCCAATGACGAAGGTTTGTGCGAACAGTTGCCTGAACCGCCAGAAAACCAAATAGGTGAAGGGAGCAAGCGAAAGCACGCCAGTGACGACGTCCCCTCAAAACGCCAAAGACCTGAGGAGTATTTCACTATTAAATCGGCGAAACAAGTCAACGTCCGCAAGTTCAGGATGACAGGTACACATTAAACTGTTTTTATATTTTTAAGCTTAACGTCAGTTACGTGTGGGATATAGATTGTTACTGTGACGTGACCAATTTAGATCACTCTGTCTTGGGTACGCTGTAGAAAGACAGTCACGTGACGAAGCAGCATGCTTGAATTTTGTACTTTTTACTAGCTTTATAAAAACGATATTTAAACCGACAAAATGTAGTATTTCGCGTAATAGTTGAACGGGTAACATAATTTGGAGCCTTCGGAGAGATCTCGAAAGACTTCGAGAGAATATTGGACAGTAAATACAACGTTATTCGTTTAAAATGAACGCGAATTAGCCGAAAATATCGAGGTTAAAAATCCAAGATGGCGGGCGAAGAGAATTTTGAAAAACTTGACTTAAAAATTGAGGAGGACATACTTTCCCTGGATGTAAATGAGCTTGTTAAACTGGCAAATAAGTTAGAATTGGGTGAAGAAAACATAGAAGGTAAAAGTCGACGTGTTTTATCTAAACTAGTGAGGAAAACTATTGACGAAAATGTGGAATTATGTCAAACTGTCCCTAAGAAAGTTGAGTATTTACACAAGCTACAAGAGCTTCTAGAAATAGAACCACCGCCACTGGAAGACGCAACTGAGGATACTGAAGATAATACTGGAGATGTGGCTGCTTCTCAGAGTCCAGCACCACTGAAAGAAACTACACCAAAAGTTGTAACTGTAAGTAGTGGTCAGTCAGGTTCTTTTACTGTTTATCGTAGGGAACTAAAGATTGTTGGCATGGTAGGCCCTGAGAGCCAGAAAGACAGATTGTCTTTTGTTAGTTTAACCCGTCAAGTCGAGTCGGGGAAATCTAAGGGGTATACTGAAAGCGAAGTAATTGAAGCAGTTATCCGAGCAATATGCCCAACACTCAAGCTCAGGTCTTATGTCGAAACAATGGAAGGACTAACATTAAAGAAACTTCTCCAGATACTAAAAGCACACTATAAACAAAAGAGTGCTACAGAGTTGTATCATGAACTGACAATTTTGTGTCAAGACCCAAAGGAAAGTGCTGAAGATTTCTTAATAAGAGCCTTGGAGCTTCGACAACAAGTGTTATTTACTTCCCGTGTAATGGAAGAAGATGTTAAATATTCACATGAGTTAGTTCAAGCTGTTTTGTTAAGAGCGTTGGAAACAGGGATCAAGAGTGAGACCATTTGTGCAAAGATGAGACCTTTGTTTAAGAAACATGACGTCACTGATGAGGAATTAATTAAGGGAGTAGGTGATGCAATGTCTGAAGAGACGGAGCGATTAAATAAATTAACCTTGTCGTCACGGAAACAAGCTGCAAAGGTTAATTCCTGTATGTATGATAAAGATGGGCAAGAGTCGAAAGCATCCAAGAATGTACAAAGTGGAGAGAAAGGCAAGCGTGACACTTTAATGATGACATTAGAGGCTGTCAAAGCTGATATAGCTAATATCAAAAGTTCTATGGTTGCAAATAACAGGAATGATGGGAAACAGAGACCAGCCTGCCCAAAGTGTAAGTCACAAGGAAATGGGAAATGTACCCATTGTTATATATGTGGTTCGGATGAACACTATGCAAGGGGATGCAAACAGAGATCGGGAAACGGACGAGGACTCCTTCAGAGGGACAGGAAGTAGTCCAAGATAGCAACAAGTCCCATTTATGTGGAAACTGTGGTAAGTCACAAAACAGTACAAGTATTCTAAGATGTTCTCGGTGTAAAACAGTTTGTTATTGTTCCAAAAGGTGCCAGTCGGACCATTGGAAAAACCACCAATCTTTCTGTGATGCAATAGTAAATATGGTTATAAAAGATGCAAAAGAGGAGAAAGAGTGGTTAGAAAAGGGACAATATGTAAGCCACCTTACACCAGCACAGCAAAACAATGTGATTAAACTAGTTGGTAATCGATGTTTAGTAAAGTGTTTAATTGAAGATGTACCAGTTGAGGCATTGTGGGATACGGGTGCTCAGGTTTCAATAACCTCGCATGAATGGGTAATGAAAAACTTTCCTGATGTCAAGATTAATCCGATTGAAGATTTACTGGAGAACAATTTAGATCTCAAAGCAGCAAATGGTTCGTCTATCCCATACAAAGGTTTTATAGAGGTGAGACTTAAATTATTGAACTCACAAATTGGAGAAGAGGTTTTAGTGCCTCTTTTGGTAGCGTCTGATCATCTTGATCACCCTATCATCGGATATAATGTTATTGAAGAACTAGTCAAATACCCAGTTGACAAGACAAATAACATTATTTCATCGATGACAGCAAGTTTTCCCACAGTTGATTCCAAAAACAGTAAAACTCTTGTTGAACTTATAAAAACAAATGAATGTAGTGAACTGTGTTTGGTTAAAACTATAAAGCATGATGTGTTGATTCCTCAAGGCAAGACAGTGAGTGTTACTTGTAGAGCGAACACACGGTCGAATGCAACAAGTAAGCTCCCAGTTCTGTTTGAGCCAGACCCTGAACAACCATGGCCCACAGGTCTTGAAATCGAACAGACATTGACAAACATAAATAGTGGGTTCTCCTCCCGGGTGGCTATTCAAGCGAGAAATTCCACCGATCATGATATTTTGCTTCCAAAAAGAACTATACTTGGACGATTGCAATTAGTAAAATCTGTTACACCTGTTGAAGTTAGGGAAAAGTGCGATAAAGAAGCACAAGTTAATGGAGTGTCAGTAAATGATGATAAGTTGAACACAAATACCCCAAAGACCTCTTACGGTGATTGGATACCTGAAGTTGATTTAAATGGTCTGACTGAGAAACAAAAATTAGTCGCTCAACAAATGCTTCTCGAAGAGTCAGATTGTTTCTCTCGAGATGATGAAGATATCGGTTGTAGTGAAGAACTTAAAATGAAGATCAATTTAACAGATAACATCCCAGTTCAAAAGAACTATAATTCAATACCAAAGCCCTTATATCCAGAGGTAAAACAGTATATTGAGGATCTTTTAAATCGGAAATTTATACGTAAATCTAAATCAGCTTACTCATCACCTGTCGTTTGTGTTAGGAAGAAGGACGGTACTTTACGTTTGTGCGTTGATTATAGAGAACTCAACAGACGGACTATTGCGGATCGTCACCCCCTACCCAAAGTCCAAACAACACTCGAGAATATCGGCGGAAACTCGTGGTTTTCCCTTTTAGATTAGGGGAAAGCTTACCATCAAGGGTTCATAGAGACTGCGGATCAACATAAGACAGCCTTTATAACCCCATGGGGCCTCTATGAGTGGGTAAGAATCCCTTTTGGTTTAAAAAATGCCCCTGCAGAATTCCAACGATTTATGGAGTCATGTCTGGAAGGACTTCGAGACGAAATATGTTTACCTTATTTAGATGACGTAATAGATTTTAGCAAGACTTTCGACGAACACGTTGAACACCTAAGAACTGTTATAAGGCGCCTTCGAGACCATGGTGTAAAGATCAAACCTAAGAAATGTAACCTGTTTCGTCGAGAAGTTCATTGTCTTGGTCGAGTTGTTTCAGAATACGGATATAAAATGGATCCAACTCAGATACAAGCGGTTCTATCATTAAAGAATAAACAACCCAAAACGGTTGGAGAAGTTCGACATTTATTAGGATTGTTAGGCTACTACAGAAGATACATTCAGGATTTTTCTCGAGTTGCAAAACCCTTATTCGACCTTCTCCAACGATCAAATGAACCAAGTAACAATAAGTCGAAAACACCCCAAGTACCATCTTCCCAAAGTGTCTCATGGACGGACGAGCATAGTTCAATTTTAGACCAATTAGTGACGCGGGTTACGAGTGCCCCAATTTTAGCATATCCAGACTACAACGAACCATTTGTTTTACATACAGACGCATCTCAGGAAGGACTCGGTGCAGTGTTGTACCAAGAACAGAATAGTGAAATGCGCGTCATCGGTTATGGTTCACGAAGTCTGACCCCTGCCGAGAAAAACTATTATCTACATTCGGGAAAACTCGAATTTTTAGCCCTAAAATGGGCGGTGTGCGAACAGTTTCGCGATTATTTATATTATGCCAAGAATTTTTTTCTGTTCTGGTGTTGTGTACTCAGGTGAATAATATGTTTGTGATGTTACTCTGAGTGCATATCCACACCGGGCGAGCTTGAAAAATATGCCCGGCCACGGTGGGATTCAAACCTACGACCTTTGGAATACTAGCCCAATGCTTTTCCAACTGAGCTACGCGG